ATATAGGTAATTCAGGGGGAAACACAGCACATTTTTCAACTAAGGATTTGTAGAAGGCATAGAAATGATAAGCAAATAAGCTTTCCTTATAGTTAGACTATATCAAATCTGAATTTATAATACATCTTATTTTCATAGCACTTTTTCTTATAAGAGCAATACATGTTCATTGTAGAAAATTTGGAAAATACTGTAGTAAGACAAGAAAAACATTTGCAATCCCATAATACCTAGGTATAGTCACTGTTAATATGTAGACATTTCTTTCTATATAGATGAACTGATAAGTAGAGGTCAATTACTCATCTTTAAAATGGTATCACACTAGTATAGAATTTTATATCTTACTCTTTTCTTAATATTGACTTTAACTTGCAGACACACTTTTATTTAGAGAAATGAGAGAATGTTATCCAGCCATGTTGACTGCTGATGGAAATAGAATATAAAACCATCTCCTACAAATGTGCTTGACATTGCTTTTCCCAAGTATATTTATCTTCAATCTTCCATTTCGACTTTAATTGTCTTCCCATTTGGGTTGTCTTTTAAGTTATACCTGTGGTTCAACTTTATCAGCCTGGCTTTCACTTATGAATAAGAACTGCACACCTTCTGTAAACTTTTATAAAATTACATGAAAACCATTCCCAAACGACTTCCTGGAAGAGCCTATTTGTCCACTTAGAAAGTGTCTATTTATCTCCACTCTTTGTTTTTTCTTTCTCTGCCAAACAAAAAGGTCATGAACAGGGTAAGAACTGGGATTTGAAACCTGGTCAAGCTTTTTGAAAGTTAAAAAATATGACATTTTTTTGTAGCCTCAAACATATTTCCTTCTTTAACTGTAATATATTATTCCCCTTTTCTACAAAATAAGTTGTATTTGCTGTAACCTATGTTACTTTGCATACTGATCTCCCAACTGTTTACAGGGATATGGATTTGGTTTGATGGTTCCAGGGTCCTCCCTGAAAGGCTTACCTAACAGGAGCCCCCAAGGATGCCAGCCAACGCCCCAGAGAGCTGTCACCTACACACTAAGTATCTTCAACACACTTGGGAGATTGCCATCTAGTCTTGGTGATTTATCTGCATCTAGTCTGTTGATTAGGTCTGGAACATCCTGAGCATTTGCCATTTCTTCATCTATTACCTCCAGTGTGTTTATTGCATGAGAAAATCTGGGTGTAGAGCCATTACTCAGCAAAAACAGAAGCACAGAATTCATTTACGCTGTATATTCTTTTTACCTCTGAGTATATGTTTGGTACGATGTTAAGCCAAGTGCTTATACAATTCTCATTACACAGTACTTAAGAGTTTGTCTATGTATTCCTAGTACCTAGAGCAGTGGTTCTCAACCTTCCTAATGCCGCGAGCCTTTAATACAGTTCCTCATGTTGTGTTGACCCCCAATTTCATTGTTACAAACTGTACATAATTAAAGCATAGTGATTAATCACAAAAACAATATGTAATTATATATGTGTTTTCCGATGGTCTTAGGCGACCCCTGTGAAAGGGTCGTTCGACCCCCAAAGGGGTCGCGACCCACAGGTTGAGAAACACTGACCTAGAGCAATGCTGGCGTACAGTAGGTGCTCACTAAATATTGCTGCATGGAGAAACTGAAAATCTGCATGAGTTATGTGCCATTATTATTCATGCTTTACACATAAGGAAACTGAAGCACAGAGAGGTTCAATCACTTTCTGAAGTCCTATGGTTAGTAGGACTTATTACTAGTAAACTCAATACCCACCTATTTTAATGCAAACAAAATTAATTCTAATCATCTTAATAAATAATATGCAATGTCAATAATAAATACTGTGAGCAATGATTTTCTAAGAAAAGATGTGGAAGAGATGAGTTTTGAACAAATACAGTACCCTCCCCCGCATCCGCAGTTTCGCTTTTCTCGGTTTCAGTTACCCATGGTCAAACACAGTTTGAAAATATTAAAGAGAAAATTCCATAAATAAACATTTCATAAGTTTTAAATTGTGCGCCATCCTGACTAGCGTGATGAAAACTCTCACAGTCCTGCTCTGTCCCTCCCGGGACATGAATCATCCCTTTGTCCAGTGGACACACACTGTACATACTCCCTGCCTATTAGTCACTTAGTAGTTTTCTCCATTATCAGATCAATTGACTGCTTTGATACTGCAGTACTTGTATTCAAGTAACCCTTACTTTGCATAATAATGGCCCCAAAGCCATTCACATAACTTTTAATATAGTATTTTGTTATAATTGTTCTATTTTATTATTAGTTATTATTGTTAATCTTTTACTATGCATATATATATTTAAATTTATCACAGGAATGTATTTTAGGAAAAAACATAGTGTATATTGGGTTCCGTACTATCCGTGGTTTCAGGTATCCACTGGGGGTCCTGGAACATATACCCTGAAGATAAGGGGGAACTACTGTAATCAGACAGATACCTGTAGGCTCCTTGCCACCTATACAAGTAAAAACATGATTGCTCTTTAATCAATTTTTTCTGTTGCATTTGTACACTAGGTAATGGGGATTTCAGGACTTTTAATAAGTGGGTGTGGTGTGTGTATGTTTGGTTTTTTCCCCCAGAGCAGTTCTGGGTTTATTTAAGTAATCTGTATTGTCAATTCTTTTTAAAATAAGAATGGCCCTAATAAAATAAGCATTTGTTGGGGCTTCATTATAATTGTCAATAGAGTTTATGAGTAATCTGCTTATAAAGTGGGAGACTTACATGTTTCTCAAACTTCTCTGCCACTACTAGGCACCTGATTTCCTGAAACATTGCCATTAATACATCATTCTTTAGGATTTTGATTACTTATATATTTAACAACTCACTGATGAAAATAATATACCCCTTTGAAAAGGGTAGTTCCTTAAAACCATTATTCGCTTTCTCCTTAAGTCTTCATTAGCTCACACCTTAGTAGGAATGGCACATAATGGTCCTAAAGCCATGGGTTAAATAGTAAAAAGAGGTGCAGAAATTAGAAGTAGAAAGACACTAAAGATGTAGCCCAGCATAAAGGAAGGAAGGGAAGGAGCGAAGAGGAAGGGAGGGAAGAAATTAGAAAAAACTTGACTGGAACTCTGCTATTCACCTCGGGAAAGTCACTTAATCTCTGAGAGCCTCAGTTGCTCCACCTGTAAAATGGGGTTGATCAAACATGATTTCTTAAGACACTTTAGCAGCAGATCTCAATGTACCATGTAAATTGTACAGCATAATGCAACCATATAGAGTATGGTGTTCTGCTTGGAATTATCTGCTTGTAATCAGCTCACTTATGCATTCTGTGAAATCAACATTCATCTTACAAAAACCGTCAACAGCTTCAAAATATAGACCTATCATTCTTACCTACCTTTCTTGTCTGGAAGCATGTCCCATATGTTTAACTCAAAGAACCAATTCACAAATTTAACAGCCTATGTGTGCATACAGGCTCAGAAAGCTTACTGTGTGCTCTACGGCCTAAAGTTCTGTAAAAATCCTGTTTAAACAAGAAAGCCTCTTTTAAGTCCTGTTTCAGTCTGATGCCTTTGGTCAAGGTGGAAACTAAAATTGAAAACAGATAGATGTTTTACATTTAAATGGGTTTAACATAAATGTGCATTAAGCCATTTCATGGACGATTGCACAAATATCTTTTGCAAACTTGGTACACGTGAACACATATACAGTAACCTTTAATGTCTTCTAGAGAAATAAGGTGCAGATCCAAAAATGTAAGCACCTACCCCGAGTCCTTTCACTCGAAAGAAAATGTAATGGCTTTAAGGGAACTGCTCTAATAATATCATGGCATCTGCAATGGCTGGCCAGAGCAGGGCAAAACCAAGCATATGTCACAGTAAGTCAATTTTACAAGAAATAAGCGTCCCCCTGGAGAATCTGAACTCCCTGGCCTCCCACAAAGAAAATTGAATTTTGGAGGTCACACCTTGGGTAGGTTACCAGAGGGAGAAGCGTAACGTTCTTTTTGTCATATGCTTAGGGAGGTCAATGCTATTCTACCAACAAATCACTACCAAAGATCTGCTCTCCGCCTCGACTCCCCACCCACCCACCCCCCAGCAAAAAACTGAAACAAGTCCTCGTAGTCCCCGAGGAAATGAAAAATGATTGTGATACTTAAGATGCCAGGGACCAGACTGAATAATCATGCTCAAACATCAAGTTTTGAATCGCGAAGTGAGGAGCAGAGTGGATACTGGGGGGCGGGGATTGGGGAGGAGAGGCGAGCTGATGAGACGATGGTGGGAGTCAGAGCGAGTCAGAAACACCATCAGAGAGCTTTAGGCTAAAATGGACTGTTTCGCCAAATGTAAATCAACCGAATCGCTGTTAGGGAAGAGAAAAGCAAGTCGCCAAGTCAAGCCCTGGCTGATTAGGCGGACTGCCCCTCGAGGAGTCGCCTGGGTGGGTGGTCTTAGGGCCAGGCCAGTCCTAGCCATGGCTGGAGGCGCCCCAGCTCACAGCACCTAGGGCAGAGGCTCTGGGTGGGTTCAGCCAGGCCACGGCCGCCGCCCCCCACCCCCTACCCCGCCAGCCCGGCAGCAACATGTGGGGCGCTGCCACTCGGCCGCCCGGGCACTCCCTCCGGCTGGAGTTCCTGAAAGACACACGCGTGGCCCTGGAAAGCGGCTGAATGACTCTGGGGGAAGATTTCTGCGGCGTTGAACTTGGTAGCTCCTGACATTTCCATCCCAACCCCAGCACTACACACACAGGCGCGCGCACACGCCCCTTCGGACCTGCCCAGGCTGCGCGCAGTGCCGGCTGCTCACTCCCGGGCAAACGCCGGAGCAGGAGGCAAGGCGAGGACCCCAGCTCCGTTGGTCCCGGGCGGCGATCTTAGCACCGGGCGGCTTCGGGGACTAGCCCACTCCCTCTCGGCCCCGGCTCCGCATTAGTTCGGGCCGCTGGCACCAACCCCGTGTCCTTTTGTGCTCTCCCGGGAAGCCCGCCTCTACTCACCCGGGCTGCGTGCGGATTCCGGCCGCCAGCGGCAGCCCGCTGCCCCATCCCACGATCACTGCGGCGCCCACGGAGTGTGCAATGCGGAGCCCCGCCAGCGCGCGGCCGGAGCCGGGAGTGCGGGGAGGGAGGCAGGGAAGGGAGGAGGAAGGAGGGAGGGAGACCGCAGCGGGGAGGGGCGGGGGGCGGCGAGGGGCGCGCGCGCCACTCCCACCCGCGCCGGGCACTCGCTGCCGCCTCTGGCCGCTGCCGGCCAGCCCGGTCTCACGGGCCGAAGGACCAATCAGCGCGCGCGGGGGGAGCCGAGCCCTCCGCGGGGTGCGCTCATTGGCCCGGCGCGCAGGGCCCAACTCCGGGAGTGTCCGCCGGAGCCCCAAGTCTGCAAACTCCCGCCCGCGGGACCGGCCGGCCAGGCACCCGTGGGGCGCCCGGCTCCGCGCTCGGGCTGGCAGGGTGAGTGAGCCGAGTCCGGCGGGCGGAACCCGGAGGACTGGAGACCTGCCCGTGCATCCCGTTCCCAGGAGCGTTCAAAGCCAACAGTGTTTGCTCAGGTTGCAGCGATTCCTTCCTGTGAGCGAGCCCTGCGCTGCTGGTCTCACCCGGGCTGGCAGATGAGTGATGGAAAGCCTGGCGGTGGGAAAGGGCCCCGCCAAACCTTACTCCCCGCCGCCCCCGGGGCCGCACGAAACCCCTTGCACTGAAGATCGGGGCTGAAAAGCAAATGGAGCTCCGCACCCGGTCAGACCTAGAGCATTTTGACGTTTGCAATAGAGGACTCATGCGGGGCGAACAATGAAGGGGAATGAGAGTGTGCGAGGCAAGTCTTCGTGAGGAAGTGGGAATCGGTTGTGGGTTCTGGTGGACATAATTCTCCCACCCTCTGCCATACCCTTTCCCCAAGTAAAGCTCTCTCCTCCTCCCAGCCTCTCACGAGGTATTGATTTTTCTCTTGTTGTAAATCATGTTTGACTCTCCTGGACTTTTCAACCCAGAGCCTCAGAGTGGAAGCGGAGCATGGCCCTAAGCCACTGCCCTCTGAGCACTGCCCAGGGCTGGTGGGGTGGGGGGTGACTAGGGAAGGTCCCCGGTAAGGTCTAGAAGACGGATTCCGTGGGTCCTCTGGGAGTCAGGCACTGAGAACCGCCCCACCTCCACCAGGTACTTGGCCTGCAGGGCTGCCTTTGCTAGGACGGTCGCCCCAGTTGCTACAATTATCCATCTTGGAAGCTCCTCAATCTTCTCCTTGGACTTTGTATTCTTTGAGCTTCTTTTAGTGCAAGCCTCCTCTGAAACTTCCTGCCTCTGCTCTTCCCCATAATCTACTCCCTCTCAACATAAAAACATTACACACACACACACACACACACACACACACACACACACTCACACTCCCTTTCCATTCTCTCTGCTTGGAAGGGCTTCGGATAACATAGTTTTGGCTAAGAGCTCTGGACCTCAGAAAGTTTTTCTCTTACTTGGTTTATGTGCACAGGTTTACGCAAGCTCAGGGTTCAAGTGGGAAAAATAATCAACACTCCTTTAGACCTTTGGACACAGGCGGTGACCACTGTGGGGCTGTCTCCCTGAGGGGCTAAAGGAATTGAACATGAATTAATCAAACTGAACCTGGAACTATCTCTCAGTGACTCTGTGCGTTAGAATCTGGTACTGAAAAGGGCAGTCCTGGGTGTCATCGCTGCCACGGAAGAAATGTGTTCTTCTGAAGTTCTGTCAATGTACCTAGTTCACTTGATTATTTTTTTTTACATTGGCTCAGCTCATAGTTTAGTAAAAACTTAATATTTGGCTTCAAAATGAAGTTAAGTGTATTACTGCAGTTTATCAAGCTCAGTTCCTAATGGAGATAGAATCCTTAAGATCTCTTTTTTTTAATGTATTTTTTTTAAATGATAGAAAGATATACACTCAAAATGTTGGCAGGTATTATCTCTGTGTGGCAGGATAATAGATGATTTTTTTGTTTGTTTTCTTCTTTATTCTTTACCATATTTTCTAAAGAACATGTAACATTTATTATTCAGGAAATTTTTAAAAAATCTGTTCACTCCAAACATGCAATACTCTTCAGGCATCCATCAGAAGAGCTAAAATATTAAATCCCCCTTCTCTTTTACCCTTCACATCTTATCAGTCACTATGTCCCTTGAATTCTGTCTCCTATGATAGCTTTCAGATCTCTCCCTCCTCAACATCTGTACTGTCACTGCCTCCATTTCATCATCTTACCCAGGTTTCAGCAACAGCCGTGACTGTTCTTCTGTCTGGTCAGCCACAATGTATCTCCTTAACAATGACAAAGGTGATGATGGCACGTATAAGCTTAAAATCTTTCAATCCCCCCAATTCCATTGCTATGAAGTTCAAACCTGGTGCCTGGTTGGCAAGGCCTTCCCTTCCCAGCCTCACCTCAAGCCTTCCCTGTTGGCACCATCCCCTGCCTTCACACTTGCCTCCCCACTGCAACTTTTTGTCCTTTGCACATGTGTTATGTGACTTCACATGCCCAGGGCTAAAACTGTAGAGTACTGGGATGCCGCCCTTTTCTTCCTCACCAGTTCCACCCCTACCAGCAATTCCTACCTCTGCTTAAGACTCATTCAAAATATCACCTTCTTAATGAAGTCTTCAAAACTGACAGGGCCAGAATTAGCAACTCCTCCTCTCTGTACTCCAGTAGCAAGCATTTCATTTATTCATCGACTATTGACCCAACTCCTATTATGTGCCAACCACAATGAGGAAAACATATCATATTTATATGCTTAAAGCACACCATGGGAGAGACAAGCATTAAATCAAGTCACACAACCAAATAATTGTAAACTGAGACAAGTGTGATGAAACCATTACATATGGGAAAAGCGTGGTTTACTTTGAACATATGCCAGCCATATTTCTCATCATATTATATTATAATCTGTTGATTTACTTGTCCAAAGTTTTGTATTCCATCATATTTGTCTGTGTACCCACATCTGAAACACAGTGCCTGGTTCATAGTAGGTGCTCAATAAAATTTTTAAAATAAGTAAATAGGTGAATAAATGAATGGGCATTTGAAATACTCATGAAGCATTTTATTTTATGTATTAACATGCTACTGTTGTACAAAATCTAAAAACAATTTAGTTCTTTGTTTGAAAAATTAATATCATTAGATCCTTATCATAACACTAATTTGGTTCTCTTGGCATAAATTATCTAATTTCTTCTTGTTTGATGTCACATTTATGAAATATAGCTAAGGTACTATTTGTAGATAATCTATTGTTGTTAGGAGAAATTTATTCTTTTTAAAATAAATTTAGTTTTTAACATGTGAAAATCCAATTTTAAGACAGAAAGCACTGTCCATAAAAGAATATACAAAATGGACTTTATCAAAACTAAAAATGTTTACTCTGTAAACAACATTGTTAAGCGAATGAAAAGAAAAACATAGACTGGAAGATAATATTTGCAAATCATATATCTGACACACGACTTATAGTCTATATGTATAAAGAACTTTCAAAAACTCAACAATAAGAAAACAACCACATTTTTTCAATGAGCAAAAGATTTGAACATGTTACCAAAAAAGATATACAGATCACAAATAGCACAAGAAAAAAATGCTCATTATCATTAATAATTAATGAAATTCGAATTAAACTACAATGAGATACACTTAATAGAATGGCTAAAAAAATGATAATACCAAATACTGTTGAGAATGCAATGCAACCCGAACTCTCATACATTGCTGGTGGGAATGCAAAAAGGAACAGCCACTCTAAAAATAATTTCACAGCTTCTATAAATTTCAACATACACTTAACCATATGGTCCAATATTCCCATGCCTAGATATTGACCCAAGTGAAATAAAAGGCCTATGTTCACTCAAAAACCTGTTAACAAATATTTATAGCAACTTTATAGTTAAAATCTTGAAACAACCCAAAAATCTCTCCACTGGGGAATAAATGAACAAACTGAGTACATCCATAAAATGGAATACTACTCAAAGATAAAAGGAATGAGATATTGATACAAACATTATGTATCTCAGTGTATTATGCTAAGTGAAAGGAAACAGACTCAAAAAGCTAAATGCATACATTAGTTAAGAATGGCAGAGCATTTACTTCATGGGTACAGGTAACAATTCTATATATTTAGAACTTTATTAAACTTAAGTGTATGAAATAACCTAAAAAATATGAACAGCAGAGCAGCAAGGTAAAAGAACTTACAGATTTTCAGGATGATGGAGTCACAGTTTGAGGTCTGGATGATCTGTATTTGCATGAGGCAATTGTTTGAACCCTTGTCATTTCAAGTTTCCTGTCACACAGAGCTAACCTAATTTTACCTAATATAATGAATGCATGAATTAATCAATTTAATGACAATTTGACTAAATGTTCATGAAAGAAGAAGCTATGACATATTGCCAATGTCTCATACAACACAATACACAGAGTGGGTACTCAATAAATATTAGTTAAATGAATAAATAGACGAGAATGAAGATAACATTTGGATTTTACAGAAATGTGAAGAAATTTTCCATTCCAATGAGTGCTTTCCCCTTCAAAGTAGCTATTTCGGCACATTACATGTTTCATTCCAGTGATGCTGCTCCTATTTAAAAATATATCCTTTTTCCCTTTTTGGCTTATTTGGCATGAATTGGTGTACCAGTGGGGTCCCTTGGCCTGGCCTATGGGATCAGGCCAAAACCAGCTCTCTGACATCCCCCAAGGGGTCCCAGACTGCGAGAGGGCGTAAGCCAGGCCTAAGGACCCGACCGGTGGGCAATCAGGGCTGGGGAGGGACGTGGACCTCAGCAGCAAGCTAACTTACTGATCAGAGTGTCTGCTCCCTGGTGGTCAGTGCACGTTATAGCAAGTGGTTGAGCAGCCTTAGCATATCTTTAGCATATTACGCTTTGATTGGTTGAACGGCCTACCAGTCGACCAGACACTTAGCATATTAGGCTTTTATTATATAGGATTATCCTTTCCTTAAGTAAAATTGTTTCCTTTAAATAAATTATTAACTTTCTTTCTCTCAATGAGTAAACAATAAATTTAATGTCTTA